TGCCGCCACTGTTTTTCTAATGATTATTAGCGTATTACGATTGGCAGCGCTTCACTTGGGCAGTTGTTGGCTGTGTCTGATTTCAGTGCAGCTGTTCAGTCAAAATCCATTCGTTGAATTCAAAAATCAATATGGCTCTGTGGGAGCTATTCAAATTGATGCTCTCCTGGAAGTACTACTCTCATCCTCTGAGTAGATCCGTATCGCAGGGGTTGATGAGCAGTGTTTGAAATTGTGCAAGTGAAAATACCATCAGATACGACTTTTACTGCTACAAAGTTGACAGAGTTAGTGTGCGATAAGAATAGTGTAATTTGGCTAGTTGTTTTTACAGGAAGCTGTAATGATGAAGTCCTTCTATCCTTAATCACCCACATTCTTCGTTACATAGTTAGGTCATTTTTTTAAATTTTAACTAGCACTGCGTCTATGAGTATAATGTATGCTTATGAGTCACCCATTTCCGATGAGTCATTGAGAGAAGTACTTTGTATTAGACTTCTACTATGTGAGGGTGGAATTCAGTGAATTGACGTGGCGGTGTTGCCCGCCCGCCACTCGTCAATGACACCCTTCAGACTACACAAGCTGCATCCCTTCTGCAAAAAGGCAGTAGAAGCGTTGGCAACAGTTCGCGCGCGAATGTTGCCATCATCAATCAACTGCCAAACGACTTCTAGCCACAAAACTGAAAGGAACAAGGAATCGGTTATGTAAGTGCTATCCGCCAATCGGTAAGCCACAGAAGCTGATTGGTTAACGTATTCGAAGCTTCGTCAAGACCTTAGTGAGTGACCATGACGAATGATCGCTGTCGACTAGTGCATTTACTGACGTAAATGTCAACGAAACGGAAACGAAGAAAAATGACGTTACTATCATATGCGAGATTCAAAAATCTACCGAACTTGTTGCTTAGCTGTACAACGCGACCCGGTGTTCGGGAAGCGTTCGAGAACCCAAGGGGTACCGGTGGAGTAAGGTTCGTAAAAGAGAGGAAGAGTGTCCCAATTGCAATGAGTTGCGAGATTACGCAACTCAGTTTTGCTTGCATCGACTACAAGAAGCTGTTGCTTTCGATTGAGTTCTTGCCGTGCTAAATACTGCAGGCCCCGGTTACACTAACCTGATCGAGGAATTGAAAACCGGTTGCAAGACCGACATCGAGATCTTATCCTCCATATCGATTAGTATGCATCCAGGAGTGACCCAAGGACATACCGCTCTCTCACCAGCACTCTTCGCCGTGGCCTTGAAGATCGGTCAAACTGGAGTGACCATATCGACTATCTGGAGCAACATATTATACACT